GGTATAAACTCCACTCGACGTGTTTGGAGGAAGAAGAAGAATGAGTATAATCCCAAGAACACCATCCCAACCGTGAAGCATGGGGGTGGAAACATCATGCTTTGGGGGTGCTTTTCTGCAAAGGGGACAGGACGACTGCACCGTATTGAGGGGAGGATGGATGGGGCCATGTATTGCGAGATTTTGGGCAACAACCTCCTTCCCTCAGTAAGAGCATTGAAGATGGGTCGTGGCTGGGTCTTCCAGCATGACAATGACCCCAAACACACAGCCAGGGCAACTAAGGAGCGGCTCCGTAAGAAGCATTTCAAGGTCCTGGAGTCTCCAGACCTGAACCCAATAGAAAATCTATGGAGGGAGCTGAAACTCCATGTTGCCCAGCGACAGCCCCAAAACCTGAAAGATCTGGAGAACACCTGTATGGAGGAGTGGGCCAAAATCCCTGCTGCAGTGTGTGCAAACCTGGTCAAGAACTACAGGAAGCGTCTGACCTCTGTAATTGTAAACAAAGGTTTCTGTACCAAATATTAAGTTCTATTTTTCTATTGTATCAAATACTTATTCATGCAATAAAATGGAAATTAATTATTAAAAAAAATCATACAATGTGATTTTCTGGATTTTTTTTTTATTCGGTCTCTCACAGTTGAGGTGTACCTACGATGAAAATTACAGATCTCTCCATTCTTTGTAAGTGGGAAAACTTGAAAAATCGGCAGTGTATCAAATACTTATTTGCCCCACTGTATATATGAAAAATATAAATATTGAATTGGGGTGGGGTGGTGGGTTTATATGAATGCATCTCTGAGGGGAACTTACCATCTTCAGAAAAGTTTTGATGGCATTTTCTTTTCCACTTACCTCCATATAATGCATATTAAATTAGTGTTTATAAGCGCAGCTGCTTTGTTTACAGTGGTAACCAAGGAAACGCTGTATCACTGCTGTTCCATTAGCGCCACCTGCTGTCAGAGAGTGAATTAACATTTTCATTCAGTCAGTCTGCTGTTTTTGTTTTGTGCATGTCTTATGTAGCACGTGAGGTGAGACCGTATTAGACAGTAATATTCGTTATACTGTCTAATAAATGAAAAAATCCATTTACTGTTTTACCGAACTTGTATCGAACTGTGACCCCAAAATCGAGGTACGTACCGAACTGGAACTTCTGTGTACCGTTACACCCCTAATGCAAACATTTAGATAGAATAGAATATCCATGGCATGTGGTGATGCCCATTTTGGAAAATTTTGGATTAGGTAGTTAATCTATGAACATTGTATTTGCTATTTTTAGTAACTCCCCAAATATGGTTACAATGGTATATGTTATGAGGATATACCGCCGAGTCCTCAGATGTTACACAGAAATTTGTTCTGTTTGTGTTTCATGAATGAGGCCTATTGGTCGAAGACATAGCCTGGAGGGCAGTACTTGTGTAAACAGAGACAGCCGCCTAATGTACCCTGCTACATGATGAATGGCCTCATCCATCAAAGGCAGAGCCCCACCATCCAACAGCGAATCAGCTTCACTCTTAATGTGCTGTTGGTTTGATGTATGCTGTTTATTTTAATACCGTCTTCATATTTTAGTGAATACCTACATTCCCCCCCTTTTTCTCAGCTTATAATGAAATGTGATGATTAGGCTCTAAACAAAAAGGTCTGAACAACTGCCACTGCAACCACAACCGCTCTTGCTATTTTAGGACACAGAGTAGCAAAAACAAATCATCCTGATAAATTGGGTCCTTTTTTAAAGAATGCATACACAAAAACAACCACAAGACATCGCCTAAGTAACCATGTCAACACGTCCTAGAATAGAGCATCTGTTTCAAGGAAATATGTTCTAAACTCAGGTCAATTTCTCTTGCACCAAACAGTTCTGTGAATACATTTTTTGGCTACTGTAAAGAAATGAAACTTCTGTAATCATTTACTCACTTTCGTTTCATCCCAAACCCATAATACTTTCATTCATCTTTATAACACATTTGACATTTTTTATGAACTTAAGAGATTTCTGTCTATCTATTGAAAGTCAATGTCCTTTCTTGCTTCAAAATGTTTATAAAGAATAGATGTAATCCATATGAATCGAGTGGTTTGATCCAAGTCTTCTGAACAGACACAATCACTTCATATGATGCTCCAGGCATGACGAAGCAGATATGGTCCTCTTTTGGAAGGCCAAACAAAGTAGTTTCACTTTCACAACGAAGCACACAGCGCCTTCACGACATGGCAGCGGCGGCAACAATACTACAGCGAGAATAAAAGTTACACCTTCTTTCTTTGCGTGAACATTTGGGCAGCGTTATGCAAATCTTCCCAGATAGTGATGTAGATATGTGGGGGCGTGTTAGAACGAGCCGTTTTAGGTAGGCGTGGCTGACTCTTAACTTTTATAAAAAATATCTCTTTGGATTTGAGACTTTAGTCTTTGCAACTTTACAGATCTTCTTTATGCACCAAGACCTTGTAACACTCCAAAGAGAAAGGAAAATTTAAAATCGCATCATATGACCCCTTTAAAGGATTTGCCACTGATAATTCAAACGCAAGTTTTGAGCAGTTCTCCGATCACAAATGCAGACATGGTTTTATGTTTACGCGGCGCGATGCAACGCAACGCATAAAAAGACAGTATAAGGGGCCGTTCATATATCGCGTCTTTTGCGTGCTCAAGTTCGTTATTTCAAATGTAGACGTGCTGCAGGCATGCTCATAATGGAAGTGACGCGGTCGCGACGCGCACACGGTGCGACATGCTCATTTTTTCCAGGCGCGTCCACGCCGCATCGAGATAAACACATTTCAACTTTTCAGAATGCCGTAAGCGCACCGCGGGTCATGTGACAAGAACCAACCAATCAGCTTCATCCTTTCCCGTAACAACATTGAAAGCTCAGCCAAGATGAAGGAACAGCTGATCATAGCTGTACAGGGATAGCCATTTTTAAATATATTTAGTAGTAGAGCTACTGCAAGCAATTTTTAGTGCTGCAAATCCATTTATCCTTTGCTGAAACTTCCGAGTCTTCATGGAGATCACAGGTAATGGTTGCTTAGCAATGGCAGACGCCTCCGGAGCGCAAGCGCCCGAACGCTTTGGAAAAAAGCAGAAAGCGGCACGCCTAGCGCTTTCCACGTGTTTTTAGGCGCGACATGTGAACGGCCCCTAAGTCATTATAATCCATAGTTATGTCCCCACTGTATGCAACAAATGCCTCATTTGTAATGGGTTTTAATGTTTTTCTCTCGTCGCTCCGGCCTGACAGGGCATCACAATATGGTAAGGGGCGTAACATTTCCGTCACATGCTTGAGGTATTCGGCCAATCACAACGCACTGGATAGCTGGCCAATCAGAGCACACCTCGCTTTTCAGACCGATGAGCTTTGTAAAAATCGATGCGTTTCAGAAAGGCGGGGCTTAGAGGAGAAACAATAATGTACAGTATGTGGAAAATAATGTGTTTTTTGAACCTTAAACCGCATAAACATTTCATTACACCAAATACACAAAATAATGTTCTTTTCAGCAACATCTGAACATATGACCCCTTTAAAAACTTTACGATACCAGCCTTTCCACAGTACCGGTAGTACTGAGTTCATTCAGCTTGAGCTCTGCACTCTTGCAAATAGTTTCGCTATAACCAACAAAGTATAAATACGATGTAAATAAGAGATTCATTGTGCTGTATAGACAGATTTTTTTTATTATAATGGGAGTTTTCACTCAGTCAGTGAGCTTGTGCCGAGGCTGAACTGAACTGATATCAGCTTCATTGATTATAAGGGAGGGTCTTTGCTCACTTTGTGTATAACCCAATCATAATTTGAATAAAAGTTTTATTTTTTAAGCGAAGTACATACTGCAGTTTCAGGAGTGATGACTGTATTAAAATGCAGGACTGAATCTGAAATTGTGATGTTTGACATTGTGATAACCATAGCAATGGACGGGACAAAACCAATCTGATGTGTCAGAATAGATCTGTGCATTAAGTCTTGCAGCGCAAAACGCAAAAAACCGTCCACTTGTTCCGTTACCTGCAATGGGTTTCTTTGCTATTTTATTACTTTCATTTGATCCTTTTAATACAATTGAACAATATTTGAAGGCTACATGCTAATGTTTTAAAATTTATTTATTTAATTATTAATAACATTGCAATAGTTTTTGCTATTAACCGTGGGATGTTACTGGTATTGGTACCGACTACTGAAATGTAGGTATTTTGACCACTACAACACGCATACATGGAGCACATCAAATATGGTAAATGGAAGCTCAGCCATACTTGATTGACATGCAAGAACAAACATCATTGGTTCTCGGCATCATTTTTGGGTGAACTATTTCATTTCATTTTCATTTATTAAGCACTTTTAAATACAATAACTGTTTGGTTGAAATAGTGGTTTAACCAAATGTTAAGTCATTTCAGAGCAAATAAACTAATATCAAAATAGAATGCGGTCAAAAGGCTGAAAACTATGAAGATAAATTGTTTTGCATTCCTACTCACATTGGTTGTGAAATGCATTATTACTCAGAACATCAAAGTATATTAGGAAAAGACCTTTTTTTATGTGCCCCATTTAAAAGGAACAAATCAACTAATGAGCAAAACAACAGTGTCATTAATTTCTCTCATCCTTTCTACTCTTTCCCTTTAATCAGCAAGCCTGTCCCAGGTGCTGCTTTAATATCACATTTTCCCCACAGTTAATGTCAGCTGCAATTCATTAACTCTGCTATTGTCACGCTGCCACATTCCCACTGATGTCATATCATATGAAACCCAATTCAGAAATATGGAGGTCGATTTCATGACTGTGGATTTGCATGTTGATTAGATGTGAGGGGTCCACATTTCGTCTGAACATGGTGAAGTCAGATGAATTCATCAGATAATGGCTGGATGACACTGACCTCATCATGACGCGATTGAGATGATGTGCATGTTGTGCATTGATCACCTTGCGGTCACGGAAGCCGACTCTCGGTTTCTTTTTCTTCCCTTCTGTGCCTGCCTCGTCTTCCTCCTCCCCGCTACTCGTCTCGAGAGCGCCATCTGACTCCGCCTCCTCCGCTATATCCTTCAAAGACTCCTCCTCCATCTGCTCCTCGTGCTTGACTGAAGACCCCGCCTCTGCATATGCTCTGCCAATCAGAAGAGAACATGCAGATCAGTCACACTGAAAAGTATATAGCAATAAAACTGTAAACCGCCTGTCAAAAGTTTTAATTTTTTTTAAAAGAAGTCTCTTATGCTCACCAAGGCTGCTTTTATTTTATGAAAAATACAGTAAAAAAACATAATATTGTGAAATATTATTACAATTTAAAAGAACCGTTTTCTATTTTAAAATATAATTTATTCCTGTGATGCAAAGCTGAATTTTCAGCATCATTACTTCAGTCGTAAGTGTCACATGATCCTTCAGAAATCATTCTGATATGCTTATCTATAATATCTACCAAACGGTGTACATTTTTTGCTGCCATTTTTTGGAGCAGTGGGGGGTTCGGTGCCTTGCTCAAGGGCACCTCAGTCGTGGTATTGAAGGTGGGAGAGTGCACTGTACATTCACTCCCCCCACCTACAATCCCTGCCGGTACGAGACTCGAACTGCAACCTTTGGGTTACGAGTCCGACTCTCTAACCATTAGGCCAAGACTTCCACCAATATCTAGATATGCTGTGTTGGCTTGGTCCAGTTAGTAACCGCATAGCAATGTGCTAAAAAAACCTACTCTGAACTCCTTAGCAACTGCATAGCAACACCCTGACGTGGTAGTGAGTTTTGCTTTAGGCAAACGTCTCTCAAATTTCTTTAAAAAAAAATGTAAGTTTACTCATCATTACACATAAGAACCAACATTGTCAATGTGTATTTATCTCTCGAGGTGTGACTCATACTAAAAGTTAATGAAGAGTGCTAGAAGGTCAATATCTTCAGGACAAAAAGCAGTAATTGAAAAAAAAGCCTGTCATTGTGTTGATGGATGTGTGTTTGATCAATAAAATGAGGTTTGTTCAATAATTCAATAAAATGAGAGAAAATGACTGCACAGACTGAGAACCGAAATGCCACCTCGTCCCAGAACTCCGTCATTCTATAGATCACGTCCCAGATGCTTTTCTCTATATTGCTGACATATCATCTCCTCTATTCATACACACACACACACACTGCACTGGCCTTCGCCCAGACTGCAGATGAATCTCTGCAGATATGGGATTTAAGGACACTTACGTTAAAGGTGAAATGTGTCATTTTTTCATATTACAATACTTTCTCCTATCCCAGTTTAATATTCAGACACAGCTATATGCAAGCCATTCATAGGGTGACTTCCCCAAAAACTCTGCAGGTGAATCTTACTAAACAAAGAATATCTTATGGTGTTATTTCTATGCATGCAACAATATAAAAATGCTGGCCTATACTGATAAAGCGAAAATTATATATATTTTCTTTTTGGTCCAAAAAAAAAAAAAAACTAAAACTTAAGCGCAGTAGAAAAAAGGTATATTTTTAAAGTTAATGAAGGCATCTCAACATAATAATGTACAGTAAGAAAAATAGATATTCATTCATTAATGAATTAATCTGATAAATGGTTGTATTTGTTACACTGTCCTTAATTCACACACACACACAAATGTATATTTTTATGTGTGTGTGTGTAAAAACCTGTTATTTTGCCGTTTCATTATTTCTCTAATTCCATTTAGTGCTGCTACTGCCAGAGGCATTAAGCAATCCGATTTCTAAAAAATGTTTTATGCAACTCTAAATCACAAAAACAAAATAAAGCAACACTGAAGCGCCTCAATAAAAGCTGATGTAACTATACATTATACGTTACAATGCTGTATTTTATTTGTAAGACACTTTATGAATGAGACAGGTGTCTACAGCGATCCGTACCTTGTCCACAGTAGTCCAGCGCTGGCTGAGATGCCCGTCCCCCCCGCCAGGGCAGCCAGCATCACTCTACGCCGCTGATAGGAACGGAAGGCACCGGCATGATGCCGTCTTGACAACTGCACCATCCCGACGGTGGCAGCCGTCAGAGCCCGCAAGCGGTACATACTGCAAGAAGACAGAAAGAAAGAGTGATAACTAAAAAAAAATGTAAGTTTACTCATCATTACACATAAGAACCAACATTGTCAATGTGTATTTATCTCTCGAGGTGTGACTCATACTAAAAGTTAATGAAGAGTGCTAGAAGGTCAATATCTTCAGGACAAAAAGCAGTAATTGAAAAAAAAGCCTGTCATTGTGTTGATGGATGTGTGTTTGATCAATAAAATGAGGTTTGTTCAATAATTCAATAAAATGAGAGAAAATGACTGCACAGACTGAGAACCGAAATGCCACCTCGTCCCAGAACTCCGTCATTCTATAGATCACGTCCCAGATGCTTTTCTCTATATTGCTGACATATCATCTCCTCTATTCATACACACACACACACACTGCACTGGCCTTCGCCCAGACTGCAGATGAATCTCTGCAGATATGGGATTTAAGGACACTTACGTTAAAGGTGAAATGTGTCATTTTTTCATATTACAATACTTTCTCCTATCCCAGTTTAATATTCAGACACAGCTATATGCAAGCCATTCATAGGGTGACTTCCCCAAAAACTCTGCAGGTGAATCTTACTAAACAAAGAATATCTTATGGTGTTATTTCTATGCATGCAACAATATAAAAATGCTGGCCTATACTGATAAAGCGACAATTATATATATTTTTTTTTTGGTCCAAAAAAAAAAAAAAACTAAAACTTAAGCGCAGTAGAAAAAAGGTGTATTTTTAAAGTTAATGAAGGCATCTCAACATAATAATGTACAGTAAGAAAAATAGATATTCATTCATTAATGAATTAATCTGATAAATGGTTGTATTTGTTACACTGCCCTTAATTCACACACACACACAAATGTATATTTTTATGTGTGTGTGTAAAAACCTGTTATTTTGCCATTTCATTATTTCTCTAATTCCATTTAGTGCTGCTACTGCCAGAGACATTAAGCAATCCGATTTCTAAAAAATGTTTTATGCAACTCTAATCACAAAAACAAAATAAAGCAACACTGAAGCGCCTCAATAAAAGCTGATGTAACTATACATTATACGTTACAATGCTGTATTTTATTTGTAAGACACTTTATGAATGAGACAGGTGTCTACAGCTATCCGTACCCACAAAAACAAAATAAAGCAACACTGAAGCGCCTCAATAAAAGCTGATGTAACTATACATTATACGTTACAATGCTGTATTTTATTTGTAAGACACTTTATGAATGAGACAGGTGTCTACAGCGATCCGTACCTTGTCCACAGTAGTCCAGCGCTGGCTGAGATGCCCGTCACCCCCGCCAGGGCAGCCAGCATCACTCTACGCCGCTGATAGGAACGGAAGGCACCGGCATGATGCCGTCTTGACAACTGCACCATCCCGACGGTGGCAGCCGTCAGAGCCCGCAAGCGGTACATACTGCAAGAAGACAGAAAGAAAGAGTGATAACTATGCAAATAATACTTTTAATGAGAATTACATCTGTATGCGAATATCTCCTGGAGTGACACAAGTGACACCATATCAAATATTTAAGCAGGGCAGTGAACTAACTTTATAAACTATCAAATAAAATGAAATTCATCCATCCAAAGTCAAACAGGCCCATTCCACCTCTCTTTCATTAGAGATTTGGGCCAGTCTCAAATGGTGTGATATAATTTGATTAGGTCTGAAATTAAAACTGTAAATGTGGGCTCTGGATCTTTCCCCAACACTGCATGGATTAGCCCTATATCTCCCATGGCCCTGAGACTGCACTCCCGAAAAACTAATTATCCAGCAGCACACGAACAAGACGCATTTTTAACAATAGACCTAAGAGAGTTATGAAATGAAATGGGACTTTGTGGCTTTAAGTCCACGTCTTTTAGTTTTGAGGTCATCTGTAAGAGAGCGTACTCCTAAAAGTGACAAAATAAACTTTTAGGAGATGTAATATTTAAAAATGTACAATTTTATCATCTGGGGAAATGGCGAAAAAATACTGACGACTCGTTCTGTCTGAAGGGACATATGCAAAAAGTTGTCAATCTGGAATGCAAATGTCCTGATACCACCTGCCACAGACCAGCAAGTAGCAAATCACAGTTCATAGCTGTAACATACAGTAAACTCAAAAAAAGAGAGATGAAAAGAAGAGATGAACCTTATCTCAGCCATTCTTTAATTTTATATTGTGAAATTGAGTTCGTAATGGTCAGATTTGCTGGTACCCTTGGTAAATATGATCAAAAAAGGCTGTGAAAATAAATCTGCATTGTTTATCCATTTAATCTTTCGCAAAAAATAATAATAAAAAAATTGAAGTAAAAAAATTAAGGGGGGGGGGAATTTTTCACATTGTAAAATAAATAATTTTTCTCTAATACACAATAGCCACAATTATTGGTACCCTTAGAAATTCTTACGAGTAAAATATCTCTGAAGTATATTCCTATTTATATTTCAAAAAAATTTAGCACACCAGGGTGACGTCCAGCCATGACTTCCTGTTGCACATGAATATAAAGAAGAGGGAACACAAAGGCCAAAGTCCCTTAATCATCCATCACAAGGAGTAAAACCAAAGAATATAGTTCTGATGTGCAGCAACAGATAATCGAGCTTCACAAATTAGAAAGTGGCTTTAAGAAAAGAGCTAGAGCATTCCCATTTCCACCATCAGGGCAAGAATTAAGAATTTCCAATCAACTAAAGATGTTACAGATCTTCCTGGAAGAGGACGTGTGTCCTAAATAATGCACGCTGAGGAGGAGAGTTTGAATGGCCAAAGACTCTCCAAGGATCACAGCTGGAGAATCGCAGAGATTAGAAACCCTCCCAATCAACACCTACATCACGACATGTTGTTTGGGAGGGTTTCAAGAAAAGAAAATGCTCTCATCCAAAAAACAAACTCCAGCATATTGATTTGCCAGACACTAATGGAAGATAAAACTAATAAATTAGCTTTTTAGCAGCAAACACTCAAGACAGGTTTGGTGCACACAGGAGTAAAAAAGCACCCCATGTGTACAATGAAATATTCTGCTGTATCTTTAATGTTGTTGGTGTTTTTTTCTGCCGGAGGTCCTGGACATCTTGTTTAGATGCATGGAATCATGGATTCTATCAAATAACAACAGATAATACATTACAAACCGACTGTCCTAGAAATCTTACAATGGGCCATGTTTGGATCTTACAACAGGACAATGATCCAAAAACAAACATCAATATCAAAACAAAAATGGGTCACTGAGCACAAAACGAAGCTTCTGCCCTGGCCATTCCAGTTCCCTGACCCGAACCCAATAGAAAATGAGTGAGGTGAACTGACTGAACTGGAAATCTGAAGGGTCTGGAGAGATTCTTTATGAAGGAATGATCTCTTGTCAGATGTTCTCCAAACTCATCAGGCATTATAGGTGAAGACCCAGAGTGGTTATCTTGGCAAAAGAAGGTTGCAAAATGTACTGAATAAATGGGTTCCATTAATTGTGGCCAACGTGTATTAGAGAAAAACATATCATAATGAGAGTATGAGTACAGTAAAAAGTTGACAAAAGTATCCATCCACAAATTTGAACCCAATTTCATGGGAAAACAATTATTTTACAGGTTAGTGAATTTGAATGATTTGATTAGTAGAAAAGCTACAATATTTAGAAAAAAAAGTATCCACATCACATAAGTAAGCTTTTTTAGCTTAAAAAAAAAAAAAGATACAATCAAGAAGCCCTGTTTAGATTTAAATATTAGCAACTAGCAATTATTCATTTTTTTGCTAAAAAATAAACGTTGTCCCTCAACAAAAATACAACGAAAAGGCCATGGAAGGGGTGGCTCTGGAAAGGTAACTATTCATAAAGCACTAGTGAATTGGAATATACTCCACCAAGCAATTACACAATTTTTATCATATAAACTTCACTGCTAAATAACAAATTAGGCGTTATTGTGAATATCAAACTCAAACGCAAATTCAGAGTGCTGCAGTTAAACCCTTTATATTACCAGTTCTGTCATGACAACTCTCTGAGAGTTTAGCATGATAATATACATGGCAATGTTAATGTGTTTGGTTTTGGTGGAATAGATCTGCTATGCTTCTGCTGGTGCAGAGCAAGTACCGAGACTTGCTACTGTCAATACATCCACAAACATGCTGCTGTGAGCATGTAGGAAATACTGCTGCTGCTCATGTAACATATATGAAATAACACCCATATATAACATCCATGAAATTACCCCCGCACCAGATCTATACAGGTGGAGCTGGGGAAGGTGGAGGGTTTCTTAAGCGTGCTGCAACTGCTACAGCAAGCACTAGCCAAGTATTTGAATGTTGAGCAGTGAGCTCATTGGCTGCTGACGTGAAAAGAAACCAATCAGCTGCACCATGTGGATAATGATGAGATTCTATCAGATTGAGTTAGAACCTATCGGCCTGCACCATCTAGAGTTTCATGACAGAACTTTGTATTTAGGGCTTTAAACATTCCCAAAATAACACCTACATATTGTAACAAAATACAACCAATTACTCAAGTACTTTACAACCTGTTAACAAAGTTATATCAGTGTTTTAGAACAAGGTATATGCATTTATTTAAGCAGACGCAAGAGTAACAGCAGAGAGCTGCTCTCAACTGACCAGACCATTTTCATTTATTGAATCACATCACACAACACCTACTGAAACCATTAGCTTAATTTGACATCATGCCTTTTAGGTTAGCGATGGTCTTATGAATCTAATGTGATTCAAGCTCTTCTGGAACTCTTCAGGGTTCAAAGTTATGTCTGCAACAATAGGCTAAACAATATGAGGACATTGTTAGTTCTTGTGTGTCTCATGACCAAAGGTCACTGACGTCAAACCTACAATGTATCTAAAGCAGCCAGAGGTGTCCAAACTTGTTCCTGGAGGGCCACTGTCCTGCAGTTGAGCCTAATTAAACATATGTGAACCAGCTAATCTAGGTCTTCAGACTCTAATCTAGGTCTTCAGAAACTAAATTTGATTTGAGGGCTACAGAACTGTTTATACTGTTGGGTATATTCACCCCACAATGCTACTGAATGGCTTTAGAAGACTTAAAGAACACTACACAAGATATATGGACAATTTTAGATACTTTTATGGTGCTTTGTATGTAATTTTGGAGCTTAACAGCATCCATCTCCATTCACTGGGGGGAAAAAAAGAGCAAATATTCATCCAAATTCCATCTTTCAAAACAAAAATTCAAGAAAAGTCACAATCACAAAGTAAATAATGACTCATTTTCAGTTTTGGGAGAACTTCTCGTTACAGAGGGTAACATATTGCAGTCAAACCGTGTACATAAAACAACTTTTGACTGAAGAAACAGGATAGCTCTTGAGACCTGTGATTTTCAATCTTCTTTTATGCCAAATTTGTCAGACTCCCTCACATAAACAAACCAGCATCTGGTAATTTTTTCTTTGAAAAGAGCTACTCATCATGTCATCCGCATCTTTTGACATCAAACTGTAGGCAGACTGGTGAACTCTCCCTGTGTGCTCTGCCTCGTTCGTAGGAAGGCAAAAGCTCCGTAGAGGCTAGAAGAGCCAGCTGTCCGTTCTCCAATATTGACTGTATTTTGATTGAGGTCCTGATTCAGCAGAACATAATGAGAGTGGGAGGGCTACATGCTAATTGGAGTGAGCACTTGTGCGTGACATTGCAGACTGATGCCGCTGGTCTCTGGGGCTGAGGGACAGTGGGACTTGGACTGAAAGCTGAGCAGAATTCTTCAAACGGAGCAGATACTGCATTAGCCCAGTAAACACCCTAGTGGGTTCTATCAGAGTGAGTTCAACTGGTTCAAGCCTTCTCAAACAACATTTTATGTGCGACTTCACATTGGAAGGGTTTTTTTATAGCCATTGAAATGTTATTAATGTAATGTTTGCATAGTTTGTAATTACAATGAGCTTTTCATTAAAATGTTACTTCCAGTGGGGGTCGAAGCTGGTGTACATAACCCATTTGGACAGCAATTAATCAACAGTGTGATTAACAGGGCTCAGCTTTGCATCACAGCATTAAATTATATTTTAAAGTATATTAAAATAGAAAACCATTATTTTAAATTGCAATAATATTTCACAATATTACTGTTTTTTCTGTATTTCTGTTCAAATAAATGCATTGTAGAGGTCCTGAACATAATTTTTTGCGGCAGGCTTCGCTCTGAAGGGTTCAGATTCTGAACTGTCCACAAGCAAACCTCACTGAGGTTTCCACCCCCCAAACACAAAGACCTAGTAAGTTTAATTCTAAGATCAATTAGGGAGTGCACTCCATGAATAGTTAGGAGGCGTGGCTTGATATTTAAAAAGAGTAGCTTCTTACTCTGCGGCGATTTCACCATTATTGTCGTCAGGTCACGTGCACAATGGGAAACAAGAGTCT